AATCAATGTTGCCATAAAGGGCTACCAGAATTTCACTCGAAAGAGCCAATCAACAATTGAAATGAATTGAGAAACTAAAGTGGAGATGTTTGATCCGTTTGACAACATGGGAACAATGAAAGCAAAAGATTGACTGTTGTAAACCTGCGAGTATAAGCCCATAATGGTTTCTGCTGCCATTTTCATATTACGGATATTAGCATTGATAATGCTATCATTTTTCTCTTCCGTTCAGGACAAAAAGCATACTTACGGTGTGCCTTGTTTTTTTTGCTCTGTCTTTGTGCGCCTTGTTCAGATTCTCCTTTCTCTTTTCACAGGTTTCGTGTTATATAACCTGCCATGTCTAATGAAAATGTCCTGCTAATTGTTGCTGCTTGAGTTTCTGCTATGATTTATTGTCGCTAAACAGCTGTAGTCTTCTTGAAAGTCATTCTCACAGACAGTGATTTGTTTATGAGGGTTTAATGCACCAAATATAACACCAACATTGCCCTCCAGGTACCAGAAGCGATTTTTTTCCTGGTCTAAAGAAAACAGCTGCGTCTTAGCATTTCCAAATCCCTTCAAAGAGACGACCGAGCATTAGCCCAGCTGGAATGCCCCCCAGTTTCATTATCCCTTCCCCTTCAATGTTAATCTTCAGTTCCTTTTATTATGAACCTTTAAAAATGAAATATATTTTGTCCTCCTTTTTTCAGCATAGGTTTTGTTTTGGTTATCCTGTCCTGTCCTGTCCTGTCCTGTCCTGTCAGTCTTGTCCGGTATATTGTTTTTTCTGTTTTTATTTTTCGCCTTTGTTCTTGTTTCATCGTATTTAGCACTTTGTGCTGTTATCTTAGATTCAATTCAACAGAGAAAGAAAATTTCCAGCAAAATCACAACACTCAAGTGTATATTTTTGATCGTTATAGTTTCGCAAAATAATGTAGACATGCCTTGGTGATGTTGCATTAGAGGGCTGCTTCTCAAAAGCTTTTGTTGGGCCATCACGCCACAACAAAAGAACATGATTTGTGCTGTAGGTTTACACCTCCATCCTTCAAAGGTCTGTCTTTCACCTCGCTTCTCTTGCCGTCCGTCATGAGGAGTTCTGATGTGATGTGTTTGGAGCTATTCAAACACAATCCCTTTTCTGTTTTTCCATCCAGTGCCTGAATTGCAAAAGACTAGCCGATTCCTCACTGCAGTTAATTCACAATGTTTCCCCCCCCCCCCTCTTTGATATCATAACCATTACAAATTCTGGGCCTTATACTCGAAAGTTTACAATGTCAGTGCTGCGTAGCAAAGAAAACAGCTTTAAATTGAAAAGCAGGAACCTCAAAACGAATGGCTCTTTGGAAAAACAAATCTGCAGAAGCACTTTTGTGTCCATGTTGTGAAGTCCCGTCTCTCTGTCAGTCACATTGCTTTGTGGTCATTCCCGAACGTGGTTTGGCTATGCATGTAGAATGCAGAGAGCGGGAAAAAAAACCTTACGTCCGATGAATGTGACTGACCGACATGCATGGTCACACACAAATGTTTTTTCAAGAAGATGCATTTTCACCACGGCTGCTGTATAATCACACATGACAAGAACGAGGATGTCAGAAAAAGGAACATGGACCGTTTTGATCAATGATTTTATGGATATTTTTTTCCTATTGAATGTGTACTTGCATGCCATGCATGAACGGGAAGAGGAAAATTATCGTGCATGGCTGCATGGGAGACAAGTCCCATTTAATGTGTTCATACTTTTGAGGGCATAGAGAGTTTGTTTTTTCTTTCCACAAAAAAAGGCAATCAAGATCTTCTAAATGGCTTCGTATTAGAATGAGCTAAGATACTTTGCTTTGTTTCATTTATTTATTTATTTTTCATTGATTTATTGAAAGTGGATTTTAAAAAGCCTTGCAAATATACCCTATAAATGTAACAAATAGAAAACGGATGATGTCAGAACAATAAATAATGCTTACGGTAACAAATGCAATCTGTTTTTTCAAGACTGTTGAATCTGTATTACAGAATTTGTCAACACCAACAGTATGTGAATACGCATGTCTTTATTTCCTGTATGTTTTAGTGTTTGTGCGTTCTGTGCACAGCCGTGTAGTGTAAACCTCACTTTCTGTGTGTGTTTTCTGTGTGTGTACTGTGTACACTGCGTGTATACTAAGTGTGTGTTTGTACCACATGGTGGCGTGTGTGCCTTCAAAATCATTTACTGTCATTTGTTTGCATGTGTTTTTAGAGTGTTCCATGAATTTTAATCACCTGGTATTGAACTGGCAACAGTGAAAGTTGTAATTCCGTTTTTGAACTTTGCAGACATACATGCCTTTTATTATTTTCTTAATTTTTTTTTCTGTTAATTTTTTATGCTCACTAATTTGACATGCCTTTCTGCTCATAAAACATCAGAGGTTAAAAAAGTCAAACTTTTTGATCACAATCCTTTATAAAGCTGAAATTGTATTAAATGAAAGGCAGACAGGGGGCTAAGGCTGCTTTGACAGATCATATTCACTATATGTATGGTATCCTTCCGTTTTATTGGAACTATTTGTGTTTGCAGTCTTGTGTATCATCTTGAGATTTCCTTTTCCTCTTGTAATTACAACTTGGGTTTCAATGATTGTTTTTGGGTGTCATTCTATAGAGGCCTATAGAATGGCTGTGGAGTTTTGTTTCTTTTCAAAGGCCTACTGCACCAAAGGCCTTAATGGATGTGAAACTTTCAGCTCTCGCAGGTCAGCTAGCTGAAAGTGCTTGAGTAGTGCAAATGGGGGACTAAACTTCTCTCCACCTCTCTGTCTCTTTGATCCCTCCATTTTCTTCCCTTTGACATCTCCTACCCCGCACCCTTGACGTATAGATCCGGGTGGTGAAAGCTTTCCGTAGCTCCCTCTACGACGGCATCGAGCGGCCCGAGTTGCGGAACTCCATTCATGACTTCCAGGCGCACCCGGAGTTCATCATCACGGACTCGGTCCACAACATCCCCCTGATCGATGAGACGGATGTGGACGACGAATCGGAGCGCTCCAACCATAACCACGTGCGTGTGGTGCTTCGTCACCCCGGCCCTCACTCTCAGCCCCAGGCGCCCCAGAGGCCCCCACGATCCCGTTACCCGTCTCGCCCGCTGAGGCAGCACAGTCTGCCGGTCACCCTCAACTGCAACAACAACGCCACAGAGAGCCGCGTCTACCTGGGCTCGAGCGTTTTCCCCTGCCCCGCAAGCCCTCTGCACAGCCTGGAGACGTGCCTCTGAAGGTCAGAGGTCAGCCGGTTGAGACTGCCAGCCAGACGGAGAAACGCTTGTTTCTGTACCTAATCTTTGTTCCTATCACAGATTCACTGCTTCAAAATGTTTCAGTGGTTCTTTACAGTATCTTGTGTGGCCCAAAGACAATCCCGCTCCGCATGAAAGTGACCGATTATGTTCTCATACAGTATGTTGCGCTCGAAAGAAATACCCAAAACGATGAGATGGATCTACGTGTGTGTAGGCTTGAACTCTGACTAAAGATTTTAAAGACTGAGCCTAATGAAAGTGTACAAATGAAAAAAAAAAAATGTTTATTTGGGGATTACTCCTTTCGCCTTTTAGTTAATAACATTATTGTTCCAATTATTATAGTGGTTATATTTCTGCTAAAACTACGACAATTAATACTACCGTTACTATACTCCAGTTATGATACTTTATATCACTAAGTATGTTTGTATGTATGACGTAAGTCTGTATGTATGTGTACTTGTTTGTTTGCTGTTGTTAAAATCTGTGTCTATGTTCTCATTGGTTCCACACGTGCCCTTCTCTCTGTTTTCTGTGTTAGAGTGTGATGTGTATGTCCAATTAAAAAAAGGAAGTGAAATTACAGAACATATATCAGCAGCATAAATAAAATAAAATCTAACCATTGGAGGAAAATCTTAGAATATTTGCTGGAAATATAATATTTACTATCTATTATATTTCTATCAATAGAAATCAATTATTTTTTTATGATGCATGTCGTTGAAGCAGATCAGCAAGATTCTGGAAAAGAAATATTCAGGAAACATTGGACGGGAAATATAAATCATTTTGCCAACTGTCAGAACAGGCCTCTGTATGCTCAAAATATGGTATTTTGGGGTATATAGAAAATGTTCAGACACACAAGCAAAGATTTTTGATCAGATCATGTGAAACCCTTTAACTTCCATTCATCTTTTCAACTTGTATTCAAAGTAATTAAACATCTGCATGATTTATCATAAATTTATGCATCACACTGCATTATTCCATGGGTCATAGAACAGTGCACATACTCTGCCCAGAGACTGATTCATTGCTGTCATGCTTGAAGCTAAACTCATCACCTCTTTGTATAAAAACAATTGTTCGATTGGAATAAGACAAGGATTACAATCAAGTTAAATATAAACTACAATAACTAAACGAGATGCAATTTACAGAGAACACGTATGAATAGTCAAATGGAAGAAAACACAAGGTGCCACATTGAGTTAATAACTCCCATTGTAATAGCCAACATGATAAATTACAGAGGAAAGTTTGTATAATAATTGCGTATTATATGTAATAACGTAAATAATCATCTAAATTATTTTTCTTGCATTGCTTATTTTTCTTATATTATTTGTTTTACATTTCAGTTTTTATGTTGTTTTTCCCCCAGATGATGAAAGATGAAAACATTGACAGCCAACCAGAATCCACCTGACTTTAAAGAGCAGGAACATTTAACATCAGCTGACAGCAGAGCATGCTTATGATAAATCAAAGCCTTTTGATAAACAGCGTGGACTGGTGTGGACATTAATGTAGTTAATAACAGCTATCAACAATAACCAGTTAATACATTGGTAAACTGCATAATAATGGAACTATTCACTAAAAAATCACCAACTGTTTGATTTTTTGTCCGCCGTCTACTTCGAATTACATTAGGCTTAGATGACTTTTATTTTGACAACAAACTCCGGAAGTTGGTTTTTCCGGAAGTCCTCGCTGAGTGCAAAGAGTTGAACCTGGCTGCATATGTTCAAAAGAAACTGGTTTATTTTTGTGGAAAACCTCCGCGTGAATTAAAATTGTGGTCTTTGGTGTGAAGACATTAATGTACCGCTTATACTTCGAGCCAAGTGACCTGTTTTAGGTACATGACAGCATTTGTTTTTAGTTTGGTTTGGTATTTATTTCCTGTATACGTTTGTCAGCTCGTTGATCGTTCTTAACGATAAATCCAGGAAGTTCAACCTGGTAACAATAATTTCAGACAAAATACCATACATTAATACAGCATTGTCTTTAAAAATCATCTCTATCATTTTGTTTGTTTACATAATATTAGTAGCGTTACGTTAGCAACAAACTGAAATAACTAGGAGGATGTTGGCTAGTTACAATTTTAACTTTTCTATTAAAGGCACTTGTATTTAACTTCTGTATTTTATATGCTAAGATAAGTTTAGTTTAAGTTTGCCACCTCCACATGTTACGTGTTTAGTGGAAACGAAAATACACAAATGAAAAGTAAATACTCATACATAAAACAGCAGATTGCAACAATATGAAGGCTTTCTTCAACCAATCCTACAGGTTCAAACTCTTCTGAGTGTCTTGCATGGAGAACATTGTGGTTTACATTCCCAAGGAAGCATGTGTCAAAAACATGCCTCTGCAGTCTCTGTCCAGCTCCACAGCCAGGAAGATCAGTGTCCATGGATCAGAGAAACAGATGCCCCAGACAGTAACGTGGATCTGTCCGGTTGAGCTGCGGGAAAAAGAAGTGGCTGTGGGCAAGGACAGCAGAGAACCGGTCCCACTGAGCCAGAGGCCACTGCTCTCCAAAATAACTCCAGGCCAGTTTTCACTGCCTGTTGTGAGTTCCAGCATCACTGCCTTTAAGGTCTTAAGAAATATTTTAAAAGCACATAAGCCTAAAATACAATTTTCAGGGCTGGAAAATGATGCTGCCTCTCTGCCCAGCATCAGGGGATCTGTTCAGCAAAATGCTATTATTGTGTATAATGGCCAGATCTTCCTCTCAGTGAGGAAGTCACATTGCAGGCGAGTGAGATTACAAAACTCTCCCTCAGCACCTTCAGGTGTGTGTCCTGTTTCTCCTAGTAAACAGAACCAAATAAATACACCTAGCTGTCAGGCACAACCGCTTCTGGACACTTCACCCAGACCACAACAGAGCAAGGTAGGACATTTCCCTCTTTTATTATAGTTTTCAGTCTGTGCTGAAAAAGGTATAAATGCCAGTAGGTGTAAATGTGATTTGATTCTCATTTGGGATTTAAATTGCACTTAATATTTAGTAATATTATTGATTTAAAGAGATGGTTCACCCAAAAATGCAATTCTTTATCATCATTTACTCACCTTAATGGAGTTGAATCTGTGTGATTTTTTTCCCCCCTCTGTTGAACACAAAAGTCAATATTTTGAAGAGTGCTGGTAACCAAACAGTTGACGGTAGCCATTGACTTCCATAGTATTTTCTATATAAGTCAGTAGCTACTTGCAACTGTTTGGTTACCAACATTCTTCAAAATATAGACTTTTGTGTTCGACAGAAGAGAGAAACTTATACAGGCTTGGAAGAACTTGAGGGTGAGTAAATGATGACAGAATATTTATTTTTGGGTGAACTGTCCTTTTAGCTGCACTGACAGTGTAAGATGAGAACAAAATTTGAACTCAAATAAGCTGGATAATGACACTAACTTTGCAACACTGACACTGTTATTAAACTGAATTGAATGAACAAAGACAGCATTGTCTTTTGTAGAGATACTCATAATAACTTCTTTCTCTTATCATCAGTCTTAAGATTTATTATAGTGTCATGTTGCAGAGAATCTTGAAAGCGGGTCTAAATATGATCATGATGACAATTCAAAGCTGTTTACGCTACTTCATAAATGATCTGAAAGGGATTATCTGTCAGATAAATTCATGCATAACATCATTTTTAAATTGCTTTAAATGTTCAGAAAAAGAACTAGTGATTTACTTGACATTTTGTGATATATTGTGCATTGTTTGCTCTAGGTTTTGATACAGATTTTTATCGAATTTCTGATTTTTGCACGTCTCTTTCCAATCCACAGAGACAGGATGTTCAGACTCCAGTCAAAGATCTTGACATTAACATACAGATTTCACCACTTCTGCACAAAGTCTCTGAAGAAATGCCTGAGCAATGCTGTACAGACAAAGAGTGTCAAAAGGTCAAGCTTTAGTCTTTTATTTTACTCTGTGTAAAATACGTTTTGAAGATGGACATGATATTTTAATACAATTAAAGGTGCTGTAAATGATTTAACAATTTCCTGGATGGACATGCATAAAATGTCCTAAGTACTAAAATAAGTGTCACCATTGTCAGTCCTGTCTTTTTTAACTAACCACTGAAGGTTTTCTGCCTCTCAATCATTTTATTTTGTTAGCATTCTTTATGTTTGAGCCAATTACCTAAGCCAGAAAGAAACAATAGTTTTTTAAAAGCTTTCTATAATACATGTCTACTTTTGAATGGCTGTGAAGGGAGAAATATACTTTCAGGATAGTGCAGTTATGACATCTACCAGCAGGGACTAACTAGTCTATGCTAACCAGCCAAACCTTGACCACTTGGTCAGGAGGACATAGATTTTTCTGAATCCTTTACAGTACCTTTAAATCTGTATTAAATAGGGATTAAGTAATTAGTGCTGTTTCAAAACCTTTGTGATCTCATATTTATTAATTAATTTTGCCTTTGAATTCTCAGGAAGATGAGTCCAGGTCACTGAGTAGCCCACCCAAACCTCCTGAGGATCTGGAGTCTGGTCAGGAGACGTCTAGTTCCCAGCCCAATTTCCTCCAGCAGCCTCAGATCATCCACACATCTTCTGTCGTCTCAGAACAGCCTGAAGCAGCAGCAGCAGGAGGAGAAAGAGAGACGCATGAGGATGACAATGAGCGTTTAGAGGGCGCATTGCTCCCCAGGGCTGAGAGCTGTCTTGCATTTGATTTTGAACAGTTGGCCCAGGAGGAGAGAATCAACCACCTACGAGCTCGGCTGAGGCAGAAGGAAGCCGCGCTCAGCGTCTTTAAAGCAAAGCCAACGGATCAGATTTAGAGGAGCAGACTGTGCCAAAGATGTCTGTTCAGGAGGTATACAAGTTCCTAGTGCATCATTTTATGTGAACAGCATAAAGGAAGAGTTTACCCAAAAATGAAAATTTGGTCATAATTTACTCACCCTCAAGTTATTCCAAATCTGTATCAATTTCTTTCTTCTGCTGAACACAAAAGAAGATCATTTTGAAGAATGTGGGTAGTTGCTGGTCCCCGTTGGCCTACATAGTATACGAGCCACTGTGTGGTTACCCACATTCTTCAAAATATCTTCTTTTGTGTTCATCAGACAAGAAAGACATTCATAAATGTGATGACAAATTAAATTATTCATAAAAAAAAATAATTTTTTAGGTGAACTATCGCTTTAAGATGAGTAGGTTTGTTAATTTAATAGCACAAATATTGTCATTTAAATAAAATATTTATGCCAAAGCAGAGATTTATGAACATAATGTGTTTGTGCAATAAATACAGTGATTAATTTGTTACCACAGTTACCACAAAATCAGTTTGGATTTAATTTTTAATTTAATTTTAACTTCTAGAATTGAAATTATTATACATTAATTCTCAGTTCAAATAAAAGGTTTAATGTCATACTGAGCATTAGTCATTTAATTTCTGCTGTACATCGTACCTCAAGTTAATAATGTACCCACACGTCTGACTGTTAACATAACGTTTTGTCTTTATTTTATCTGTAAGTGTGTTCTCTCTGACTGGCGCTGAATGCGTTCCTACATCTATCTTTGTTTCATTTATCATTTCAGCTGAAGCCTACACACTCCGAAATCTCTTAACTGGCTTCTTGCTGAGATATACTCATGATAACTTCTTCCTCCATTGTCGTCACTCTTAGAATGGATTTCAATGTCATGCTGCAGAAAATTCTGAGCTATAAATGATAGACATGAGGGTGTCAGTTTTGGTTTATTGTTGTTTATTAATCAGATTTCTTTTGTAGTTTCATGCATCTCCAGTACAAGACAAGCTTTGCGATTAGGAGTTGTCTGTGTGTCGAGGAAGGGTAGGATGTGTCCGTGTCCGTGTGTGTGTGTGTGTGTGTGTGTGTGTGTGTGTGCCATTGGCCCGTCCCCTCCTGGTCCTCCTATAAGAGCACACCGGAGTAAGAACGTCAGTAGCTCTTTAGAGAGACCAGACCTTGAAAAAAAAGACATGCCATCAGACGGAATGCCTACCTGTCATGCCAGACGCCTTCAGATGCGTAGAGAATTCCTAAAGGTAAGACTCCACATGCACTTACATAGAAAAACTATTGAAATGGGAGGCACCAGGATCAGGCTTTCAAGCTAAGGACGCTTACACCTGTTGCATGTTATCTGGGTGTAGAATTAGGGTAGTAAAGACCACTTCATGCTGATTTTTTATCTCATCTTGGGGCATTTAGACCAAAAAAAAAACTTTATTTTTTGCTAAATGACTAGTTTCCATGGATGAGTCAAATTACCTTTTTGTGAGTAACAATTACTGCCTCCAATGTCAGGGAGCTATTATGACGTCAATTTGTCGTGTGGGATGTAGAAAAATATAGATCTGCAATCCACGCCATCATATCAAAAGGTTATAACAGTTTGCAAAAGGTCATCATCTGAGTCGGCAGCTTTTTGTGTGCACTCTTAAAATAAAAGTTCTTTTTTGGAACTGATGAAGAACCTGAACATCAATGGAACCTTTCACTTACACAAAAAGTTATTTCTAGTGGATGAAGGTTCTTCAGTTTATTAAAAAGTTCTACAGAAAAAAGCAGTGTTTGTTGACGGGTTCTTTGGGGAATGAAAATGGTTCTATAGAATCACTGGAACCTTTATTTTTAAGAGTGTAAGGCAACATTGAAACTATGTATTCAAAGGATCTTGCATAGTAGCAATGCCATCTGGACTTTTCGTACATGCTTTCAAATCAGTAAGGTTTGCAAAACAAAACGTATTCAGAGCATCATCCATCAAGAATTGTATCCATTGCTTTGACAAAAAGGAGTGTATCTGTCTGATAAGATGCAGGTGGCTGAGAGTTTGTTTGTTTCTGGTGAAGCAGGTGCCCAGCTGGCGAAGTGTGTGTGTCCTCTATTCCCTGTACTGCATCCTGATCCTGCCAGATGCCGGCGAGGCTGCCAAACCACGCTGTGGACGAGAACTAGTTGCTGACCTGGAGTTTGTGTGTGGAGACCGTGGCTTTTACAGAGGTGAGAGTCACCTACAAACGTCATCTTACACTTCTAAAGTCCTGTATTTTCAAAAAGATGCATGTGCTGATTGTGTGAGTCAAAGCGGGACAAACCCTGACATGGTTACTTATCGTGTACCATTTGGTGTGGACACAGTGATTTGCATGTCTCTAAATCATTAAGCGCACTCATAACACCATATCATATTCATAACACTTAATATCAGTGTATTAAAAGTGGCCTTGCCCTGAAGATATAGACCGTGTTATCAAGTCAAGCTGTTATCATTATGGAGTTGATGCAGATCAACCAACCAATAGCAAACAGTAACCGACTGCTGTTGTAGGTGGTATGAAGTTATATTAAACATTTAATAAATGACAATATAAGTCACCACACCAACATGTACTCTTGATTTGCGGTTGTTGATATCAACATTTTTATTTCTGCTAACTGAGGCCCTTTCACCCTGTTCTGTATCCAAGGCCACCTTGACACTTTTCGCTCACATTTTCTCATTCGCTCTCACTCCTTTTCTCAAAAGGAACATTATGACACGGTCTTAGTGACAATATCTAATTTCAGCAATTTTACAAAAAATTTAATAATTCCTAACATTGGGCTACATAAACTATATACACACCATTCAAACTTTTTAAATTGATTAAAAATACAGTAAAAACAGTGATGCTGTGAACAACTATTACAATTTAAATGAACTGTTTTCTACTTGAATATATTATTAAATGTAATTTATTCCTGTGCTGCAAAGCTGAATTTTCAGCAGTCATTACTCCAGTCTTCAGTGTCACATGATCCTTCAGAAATCATTCCAAGTTAAAAAGAACAGCATTTATTTGATATATTCTTATTATTTTTGATATAATCTGATTATAAACTTCAATTTAATCAGTCTTTACTGAATAAAAGTAATAATTTCTTTAAAAAAAACTTTTTGAACTTCTGTATGTATTCAATTATTGTTGTAGTTTTATTAAGCGCTCAATTTATTTTTAGAGCATACAAGGCATAAATTCTCTTGCATGACACCATATGGGCAGTTTGATAGTTGCAGCTAATTCACATGAATGTGCGGATCACTCCGCTGTGGCGACCCCTGATAAAGGGAATAAGCCGAGAGAGAGCTAATTCACATGAATGTAACTGGCATTAAAAGTATTTTGCTTTGTGTCTGTTGGGGTTAGGCAAACCTGGAGCAGCCCGTAGCGGCGGCCCCCGCTCTCGTGGGAAAGGGATCGTAGAGCAGTGTTGTGTGCGTGCATGTGACCTCCAGCATTTGGAGTCGTATTGTGCCAAACCCAAGAGGCTGCGGCGTGACGTCCCTGCATCTCTGCAGCAGACTCCGGTGAGACTTCAACTCCACAGATACACATACAAATCCCATTCACCTGATTCGCCTTTGTAAAGCATAGAGGAAAAGTTCACCCAAAAAATGATGACATTTGACTTTCTTCTGTAAAACTGGTCACTCACTCACTTAATCACAATGAATGGGAGCGGGAGCTTCAAAACGCAAAAGTGCTTTTTTATTTTTGTTTTAGTAATTTTATTACTTCACATAGTACACACAAATTTAGTATTTCACATAGTTGCCCCCCATGCTGCTAACATTTCTAATTTTCATTTAAATTCTTCATCTTACAATATAAACTAAATAAAAATGTACACTTATTTTATTTCAGCTTTATTTCAGTTAACAACTGTTTTTAATAGTTTTAGTTAACAATAATAACACTGTTCGAATAGTGAACAAATCTTCAGACCAGTTTAGTGAATAGGACCAACTCATTGATTGAAAAGAATGATTAGTTCATGAATCAAACATGAATTGCTTCTCACATGAACATGATCTAGAGCGGATGTCAAGATTTTCAGTGAATAATGACACAAATTCCAGTTTATTCCTCACATATGACTTCGCAACTTAACTAGTTCTTATTCACATTTGTTATGTTTAAAAAGGGTTCGGGATATTGTTCAGAAATTAACCTTTTGTGTTTTATGAGTCTCACGTAATAATACTGCCAATTTGAGCAAACAAAACCTTGCAACTTTGAAACCCAGCAAATTGCTTAAATTCTACACACTGTCGTTCTCTGTTTGTTGCAGGAAGATCAGTTTTGGCTGGTGTTTCAGCGGCGATACCAGAAGCATGCAGAGATGAACAGAGATGCGGACGCTGCTTCTCAAAGACTCAGAGAGCGGACGCTTTACCGGAGGAACTCCAGAGATTCAGTTTTACTAACCAACCAACCCTCCTCAACACTACAGCAACCTTCCACTGAGAGAATGCCATCAGGACCAACATTTCTCCCCCACATCCGATAGTCCTGGCTCCTTTTGGATCTGTGTGGACACTATGAATCACCTTCCTTCACTTAAAAAAAAAAAAAACTTTTCTGTCCTGGCAGATATATAAACTGAGCACCATGTAAGAGAAACTAGAGGACAAGATGCCAAAGCCACTCATGCCATAAAATAGTGAAGAGCAGGGTGTACCTGAATGGTCACGGGCTGTACTAGCGTCATTAAGAATATGCTGAATACAAGATGAATTGTATTTTTCCATTCAGTTTTGTTTTCAGCTACCCTCTGTCTTTGGGTAAACAAGTTCAAAGCAAGTTAAAGTTGAATGTGTTTGTATGATGGCTGAGGTAAGTCATTTTGAATGTAAATGTGACGTTTTTTAATGAAAGATTGCTGATGTTAGTGAATCTATTTTCTTATGTTTTTTATGTTTAATTTATGTTCTATAAGATTAGTGTTTTCTGGTACTTGTAAAATATGTATCTAAAGCAGAGTTGTAAAGAATTTTACATAAAAGAAAACTGTGAGGATACCATGCTGTTCATTTTAATGGCCATGATATTCTGACATACTCCGATCAGCTCTATTTTAAACGATGCATAAAGACAGATTCCAGGGGCCTCATTTATCAAATGTTGCGTATAAACCGCCCTAAATTTGTTCTACGATCATTTCTCAAAATTGTCTAACAGATGTGACATTTATAAATCGCAAATGATCTTGAAAACGCCCCCTAATTAATATCATTACCATATAAAAGAGCACACGCCAATATCCAAATTTCTATGCTTGAGAACGAGCACAAAGAAGAAGAAAAAAAAGAACTTTACGGAGTCTGAAATTGAGGTCCTGCTGGCAGAGGTAGAGGTTCGTGCGCGGACACTTTTTATTTAATAATGTGTAATTATTCTGTGGACAAACAATGTGTGTGTGGTTATATTCCATTGACTATTATCAAAATGATTACTTCTAGGAACAACAGAAATAATAATAATAATAATAATAATAGTAGTAGTAATTATAAAACAATTGGGTTTCCGAAAGTAAAAATAAACTACAAATTCAAGTAAAATTTTCAGTCATCTTTTACAAAGTGAGCCATCCTACTTTTAAAATCACTTGCTATGACAGCTAATAAGTTTAGTATCACGAAATTCTTGCAAAACTTAAAAAAAACATTATTGAAAGAAAAATTTTACGTTTCATATCATAATAAATTATTACACGACTATGGTCTCCGGTCTGAAAAAAAGCTGCATGTGATTTGGCATTTCTTTATATTTACACCGTTTACTAATTCTGCTCAAATGTGCCATTAATGTACTGCATTAATGTACTGAAACAAAAATAGTATATAGTGTAGGCCTATTTTATACAAATATAACTGATGTAAATAACAAAAACAAAGTTTAAGGCTGATGTCTCTATTCATTTTCACAGAAGCAAAGCAGCAGATGTTATAAATAAACAGTTAACAATGTTATTGAATAGAATATATTAAAGGGGTCATATGATGCTTTTTTTAAAGATCATTATTTGGTGTATTTGGTGTAACAGAATATGTTGACATGCTTTAATGTTCAAAAAACACATTATTTTTCAAATACTGTACATTATTGTAGGTCTTCTATGCCCCCCCCCTCTCTCAAACGCTTCGTTTTCTGCAAAGTCCCTCCTTCCGACAAGCGCAGTCTGCTCTGATTGGCCAGGTGACCCAGTGCATTGTGATTGGCCGAACACCTCAAGCACTCGTCGGAAACGTAACGCTCTTACCATAATCGCCAGCTTCATCTTTCAAAATAAATGTAAAGACAGAGCCCGAAAGGGGAACAGAGTCGCGTGACAGACACAGTGATGAAGCTGGTATGTGTTTGCATTACACAAGCCACGGTTAAGACAGCTGCCTCCACTGTGATGTGTGACCCTCCCTCCCTCTCTCTCTCGTTCTCTCTCTCTCTCACTCACACACACACACACACATAAAATGCATTGCTGTTCTGTTGTAAGTAATCTTAAAGATTCCTAAATGCATCTACTTTCGGAAGGCCAAATAAAGTGCTTTTGCTTTCGCCTAGAAACACACAGCGTCTCCCTGACATGCTGCTTCAACACTAACTGCGTTACTGAAACCACGCCTTCTTTCTTTGTGCGCACATTTGGGCGGCATTATGCTAATATTTCCACATAGTGAGGTAGATATGTGGGGGCGTGTTAGAACGAGCCGTTTTAGGGGGGCGTGGCAGAGTCTTAACTTTGATAAAGAATATCTCTTTGGTTTTGAGACTTTAGTCTTTGCAACTTCAGGGATCTTATCTATGCACAATCAGCTTGTAACACTCCAAAGAGAAAGGAGAACTTGAAAGCGCATCATATGACCCCTTTAAAACCGTTATAGCACGAAATAGGCCTATTCTTATAGGCTACACAGACAAAACAGTTGATGCGTTTATGCATTTTTAAAAAAATATTTTACGCATTAGTAGAAAATCAAAACTTCGCAAGTTCTCTTATAAAATAAGATAATTAAAAAAAACAACAACATGGAATAAACTGTGTACAGAAAGCGAGTAAAGAACTCGCAGCATTAGGCTACTAAAAAGGTCAGTTTAATCTCCCCAAAAAAATCCTGTTAATAAAAAATCTGACTACACTGCACAATTAATCTCTTGCACTGCATCTTTGTTGTTTATGATGAATTCGATGCTTGCACGTACGCTGCTTTTATTATTCTTGCAGCTTAGATGTTCAAATAGCTGCAGTACTCTGACATTGCCACAAGGAAAAGTGCGTACCCCTGCTCAGACCCTGGCGTGACGGTTAGTAGGCTACTTTTCCACGTCAAAGACCGTTTTTATAAATATGAACGTTGCACATTTTATAAACGAGGCCCCAGATCTTCTAGTGAGAGCTCCTGAAAGCTGCATGTTTCTAAGATTCTTTTTGGATTATTAGATATCGTCCCAATGACCTCTAAGGAGGCAAGAACATTAGTCTGTTATAATAAATAATATCACCACAGCCTTGGTGTGTTATCACTATCTAAACATGGAATAAGTTTCTTTTTGGTATGCATTGGTGAAGTTTAGTGTTATGGCTTGGATATTCTTCACAAAGGTTTTTAGCTTTGCAGGCAGCATTTTTTACATTGCAGTAGAGCAGCAGTGATGAAAGAGTTAAAAACAAGCAAGAGGAACAAGGACAGGGCAAAAAAGAAAAAAAAAGTTCAAAGACGTTTAATAAAGCATTGTATAGTGTAGTAAAGTCCTGTATAGTAAAGCTTAAATAAAATCTAAGATTGATCTACATATTTTAAAGGAGAAATGTTTACTAAAATCCATTTTTATGAGGATCAATTAGTCATTAAATAGATACTTGACATTTCACACACACACACACACACACACACTTCTGTGAACTGCTGTCAGTGACTATTAGCAGCTGTCATTTGTTAACTTGTTATTAATATTACAGAACAGAATAAAGGCTACTGGAATTACTCCCCATCTTGGAGATTCTTCATGTAAAATCACTGATGAGTGTAACAGGTAATGTAACACGGCAGAGATATTCAAAGTTAGTCATGTATCGTTCTATGAGAGGTTTGTCCAGATGAAAACGCACTTTCTCGCCCCTCTCTGTCCTTGAGCTGATAAGAAGCCTGCTAGAGTTTATCTGGAGTTTCACAGGTGACAAATCTGAGCTTCCAAGACACAGCACACACACACACACACGATCTGCTCTTTAAGGTAAACTGGCATACAGTCTGTTCATTTTATTAATGTATGAAGTTTAATACCAAAAAGATTTTCATAATTTGAGGGCTCTGACATCATTTGCATCATTGTGATTGTGAAATCATCACCAGTGATTACTGCAGATGGACAAGTCACCTACACTACAATGGAGAAGTTTGGATTGGTCATTTTTTGTTTGTTTATTTGTTTTCTAAAGAAGACTCCTAATCATTAACAGTAATTTTGTGAAATATTTTTTACAATTTAAAATAACTATCTTCTATTGTAATGTATTTTAAAATGTAATTTATTCCTGTGATACGAAGCTGAATTACTCCAGTCTTCAGTGCCATCCGATCCTTCAGAAATCGGTCTAATATTCTAATTTGGTGGCCAGCAAACATTAGCAATGTTGAAAACGGTTACATTTTTGGGGGGGAAACGGTGATACTTTCTTTCAGGATTCTTTGATAAATCAAAAGATCAAAAGATCAGCATTTACTTGAAATAGAAATATAACATTAGAAATGTCTTTACTGTCACTTTTGATCAATTGAATGCATTCTTCCTGAATAAAAGTATACATTTCTTTAAATAAACAAACAAACGTAGTGACCCCTTTTGAACTGTAGTGAATGTCACTCTTGATATGTCAGGAAGAGACTGAAACTTGTAACCATCAGTGTAGAATTTCAACAAATGTGTTTCCCAGGCCTTGACCATTTTTGCAGTCTCAGCATCACATTTTTTTTCTTTTCAGATGTGAGAGATGGAGATGGTTGTATAATGCTGAAACAAACTTACAGCTGCTTGGGTCTTAGATAAGAAACACAGTCGACATCACAATACTCAATTTTTCCTTCTGCGTCAGAGTCCGATAATACGGCTCACTCCCCCGTTCTGGAGATGGACCAAATCTCCTGGGCACTGTGGTCAGGATAAACATGCCCTTTTAGCTCTAAAAAAAAAAAAGACCAAGCAACATTGTCCATTTTTTTGTTGCTCTAAGTTGCTAAAGTTTTTATCAGAAACACATTTAACTACACTTAGCTCTTAGCTTTGGAAATAGTATTGAAGAAAGAAACCGCCAGAAAACATACCTGAATAAAATGTTCAGTGCTAGTTTTTCTTTGAGAAAACACTTCAGACATAGAGGTGCAGAGACACAAACGGCAATTTTCATCTGAAATGTTTGAATTAATTTGCATTTTAATAATCTATTCATATTCACCTTTCGACTCCACAAGAAAATTCAAAGCATGTAAACAGACAAAACAGACTAAAGCATCTTGACCTTGTGAGCAAATTAAAAGGAAAATTGACCTCTCTGTGTCCTCCTATAGGCCAAAAACAATTGTGGGAGTCAATAAAGATATATATATATATATATATATATGAACATGTTGAGCTAATTTGTTTCAAGTTAATGCAATTAACAACAGATTACAATATTCATGCATGAACTGTTTAAAAAGAACACGACTACATGGCCCACTTTTATTTATTTAGTTTTTATCTGTTAAAGAGACTTTGGACATGTGATTTTCCGTAAATCAGTCCGATTTCTAGCAAGGATCTATGTACATAAAGAATCAAATGTTAGCAAACATCTGTGTAATCATTTACCAATTAGCTGGGGAAAGAAAACACAGCAAGAGGACCAGACAAAAGTGCCAAACAGACAAGACGTTTCATGGGCTTGAAGCTTCTTTCCATTTGGAATTATATCTGCGTAAGTTGCTTTTCTTAATTGATTTTTACAAAGAAATTCGCTTTTTATTCCCATTATGGTCTCTCACAGTAGATATTAGCAATCACCACCAGGCCTATAGGCTATATTGTAGGCTACTGACTATGAATAAAAACGGTGTGTTCTCTGCTTACTTGAAATTATATTTATATGTATTTCATGTTTCATTTTTAGTATAGTGTGGGTTTTCTTTAGACATAATGCTAAATATGAGATGTATGTGTTGAGACTATAACTTGCAGATTTGTTTTTCTTTTCTCTCCAGGTTTGAATCCAACACCATGTATCTCGTCCTGCTGTTGCTCTGTGCAGGTGTAAGTCAATTAATCATAAAATGAGAACGATTACACAATATTTTGTGGTAGTAAAATGAACATTTTCAAGTGACCTTTTATAAATTGTGAATAATCAATCCTCTACTTTTTCTATTTACTTTCCACTTCCAAGTTCGTCTTATTGTCTATACAGGTCACGGCACCAGCGTCACGTCGCGTTAATCCCACGGATCGCGATTCGCGTCGCGTCGCGTCCAGGGGTGTGTCTATGTGGTGGCCAGGGGTGGCACCGGCCTCCCCCCTGAAATTTGGCTGGCCACCCCAGGTGCCACCCCTACCATCAGGGGCGTGTCTACAGCATTTTAAATGGGGGGGCCAGTCGGGGGCACTGGCTCAAAAGAGGGTGGCCGGGGGGAGGACGATGTGTTTGCAGAACGATGTATGTTATAATACATTGTGTACACTCACTAAACAAAGAGTGACAGAGCAGAGCCAATTCATAAAAGAACAATATTTAAAAGCACACGTCCAGTTTTGTGTGAGTGAAGGAAATCCGCTTGGGAGTGGAGAGATTCATCCTCGCGCACATGGCTCGCGTAACATTATGCGCTCTCGACATTGTCATTAAGATGACATTATAGAAACCACCTAAAATTAAGTATAAAGAAGAGAAGAACGCGGCCCTAGGCAGCTGCCTACACAGGATCCGCCACTGCCAGATGCAGTTATAAATGTACAAAAAACAAGCCCATCGCAATGGTAGGGGGGGCACTTGGGGTGGCCAGCCAAATTTCAGGGGGGGCCGGTGCCACCCCTGGCCACCACGTAGATACGCCCCTGCCTACCATTGCGATAGGCTTTTAGGATGTTTTTATTAAATTTTAAGTTCTTTTATGAATTGGCTCTGCTCTGTCACTGTCTCTGTCACTCTTTGTTTAGTGAGTGTACACGATGTATTATAACATACATCGTTCTGCAAACACATCGTCACAACATGTGATGTTATGTGACATTGTTTACAAGCCGTTATATTGATGTCTTTGCGCCGCTGAAACACTAATTGAGAGATTACATGAGACAGGATAAGTATTGTAAAGTTGTAGGCTACTCTTTCTTTAACTTACCTTCGGATGTTTAGTAATGATTATTTTGTGATCATTTCAGGTGGGCCTCGCGCTGAGGCGCATCTGTCACTCCACATTAAACAGCGCCAAAACGGCATTTATTGTTTAAATACTGCAATACAATGGACAAAATTTGAAATCTGAGACTTTTTCATATTAAAAGTATTAAAGCACAATGCTTATTGCATATATTGGATGGGAAGTGCCCTTCAATGTTCCGTCCATTAACTGAAAACAGGCTAGACTAATCGATTCTTGGGATTTAACACCATACACTCATTTCATACGGACCACAACATTTTAATGGTGGGTTTACAATCTCCCCTTTCTTCAGCTTTCCCTGTCTACCTGCGACATCACTGTTCTGCTAAACTCCGGCGTTCTCCTTTCTTGTCTTCCTGATGATGCCCCTGTGCTGGCAGACCCCACATACACCTGGAGCTTCACGTCTGCTCACACACAGCAGCAGCACACACTTAAGGAGAAAGGAAAACTCCTGAACCTCAGAAACATAAATACGACCCACGAAGGCCAGTACAAGTGTGTTCAGGATGGCTATAAAGCAGAGGATCGTATGAGGTTGAGCAGAACATTCACAATACGTGTGGAAGGTTAGAAGGTTTTGTTGCATTGATGACTTTTAATCTCAGAGGTCAATTAACTAACTGAACCCTTTCTTCTTTCTTAGTGCCCCCACGCTTTCAGGAATGGCAGGTTGTCAAAGAAGTAGCTGGGAATGATGTGACGCTTCCATGCAAGGTTGCCACGTTTTTCTCTTCCGGAGAGACAGAAACCCCTCCTGTTGTCTGGAAACGAGGGACCGAAAATGGTGCGAGGCTTCTCAAGCTCGACAAAGACACGGATGACCAAGAGGAGGAGGACAAGACACCTCACAGGATTTTCTGGAACATCAGCCCTGAAGAAAAGGACTGGGCAATTAAAATTAGTCAGACCAGAGAGGAAGACGCTGGGATGTACCACTGTGTCATAAATAATACATCTCAGATGCTGTCAGTGGAGCTGGAAGTGGCAGGTACTCCTTTCAGACACTTCATCTGTTTTAATGTTATTCTCATATTTTATTCGTAAAAAAAAAACCCATTAAAATATTTATAAATACTGTGTTTTAACTTAGGAATAATAAATCTAAACAAGTAATAATAATAAAATGTAAACAAATTATATATATATATATATATATATATATGGGTGTCTGTGTGTGACCCTGGACCACAAAACCAGTCATAAGGGTAAATTTTTTGAAATTGAGATTTGATATTCAGCTTTCAGATGATTTAAATAAGCTTTCCATTGATGTATGGTTTGTTAGGATAGGACAATATTTGGCCGAGATACAACTATTTGAAAATCTGGAATCTGAGGATGCAAAAAAAATCTAAATACTGAAATCAAAACTTAAGTTTTGATATATGTACAGTAGGAAATTTACAAATTATCTTCATGGAACATGATCTTTACTTAATATCCTAATGATTTTTGGTATGAAAGCAAAATCGAAAATTTTGACCCATACAATGTTTTGTGCTCCAGGGTCACACACATATTCTGTTTGTTTTAATATTATTCTTACATTTAATTGTATTAAAATACAAAAATATTTTATTTACAATTAAATGTTTGCATAAATTCTGTTTTATTATTATTATTATTATATTAAGAAAATTTATTATAAATTAAAATATAATTAATGAAAACATATATAAAAGCCTGTTTTAACATAATTATTACACTTTAGAAATTATTTTAAAAAATATTTTTAAAATAATTTAATTTGAAAATAAATGTTATTTATTTATAAATACATGTTTTTAAATATTATTCTTACATTTAACTTAATAAAAAAAGAAATGATGTAATTTAAAAATAAAATGTATATATAATTTCTGCCTGTTTTAATATTATTATTATTATTACATTCAGGGAAAAAAAATTATTTAATCTAAAACAGACAAATATTTACAAATGTTTTTAATATTATTTCTACATTTAAGGAATAAAATAAAACCAAAATGAATTTTATTAAGAATAAAATAAAGAAAATATTTCAAATATATATATATACATTTTACTATATAAGAGTAAAAGAAATGAGTTATTTTCAAAATAGATCTTATTTATGAATTTACTCAGGGGTAATCTACTGTAAAACAACATTTGATCTGTAACTGGAATGAGATTTTTTTGGGGGATTACGTAAATTATGGAATATACATAAACTGTATTTTTTTTTTAATCTCAAATCACATCCTTTTGGAAAGAAATGACTTATTTTTCAGGGTAATCTTTACCTCCTATTTTATTCCTTAGCCCTCCCTCTGCCCCGCTGCTATGGCCACACTGGCCCATTGGAGGACTGTGAGGACCAGGACAGCAGATCAGGGAAGGCAATTCTGCAGGATTCACTCAGAGACTTCTCCGCCTCTGTATACGCCGAACTTAAAGGCTCAAAACCCCAAACCAACTTGATCTTCTCTCCAACCAGCATTGCTGTAGCTCTTTACAACCTGCTATTGGGTAAGACAAATAATGGAGGAACGTCATACAGTCGCCAAAAGGCTACACATTGTACTTTGTTGAGCTGCTGAGCCTCTTACTCCTCTCTCTTTGTATCACCCTCTTTCCAAGGTGCTCGAGGTGAGACCAGAACACAGCTGGAAGGTGCTCTTAGGATTCCTGTAGAATTCTCCTGTGTGCATTCTGAGACAAAGAAACTGAAACAAGTGATAAAGGACACACTGAAAATGGCCTCTGCTATCTTTTATTCCCCAGGTAGCCTCAATAAAAACTCACTCATTAGCTATAGATAACCACTCACCTTGTGAAAAAGAACGACATGCTAAATACACTCTTAAAAATAAAGGTGCTTCACGATGCCATAGAAGAACCTTTTTGTCTAAATGGTTCCATAAAGAACCTTTAACATCTGAAGAACCTTCCTGTTTCACAAAAGGTGCTTTGTGGTGAAAGAAGGTTCTTCAGATTATAAAAAGGTAAGAAAGAGATGGTTCTTTAAAGAACCTTTGACTGAATGGTTCTTTGTGGAACCAAAAATGGTTCTTCTATGGCATCGCTTGAAGAACCTTTTGAAGCACCTTTATTTTTAAGAGTGTACTTTAAAAGGAGAGTTATAATGGATAATATTTTCTTAAAAATACACACACTTAACGGCATGTTATTTAGAATGAATTGAAAATATATTCTAGTTTAAATTGATATTGAATGCACTCTGTTAATCTTAAGCGAGCTTATCTAACGGCAAAAGAAGGTTCTTCAGATTATAAAAAGGTAAGAAAGAGATGGTTCTTTAAAGAACCTTTGACTGAATGGTTCTTTGTGGAACCAAAAATGGTTCTTCTATGGCATCGCTTGAAGAACCTTTTGAAGCACCTTTATTTTTAAGAGTGTACTTTAAAAGGAGAGTTATAATGGATAATATTTTCTTAAAAATACACAGACACTTAACGGCATGTTATTTAGAATGAATTGAAAATATATTCTAGTTTAAATTGATATTGAATGCACTCTGTTAATCTTAAACGAGCTTATCTAACACACTTAATTAGAACTTACATTAGTACAGCTTTATAACTAATTTCAGAATTCTGTTGCTTTTGAAATTTGGTTAATGTGCTGCAGATTTATTATGGTAAACTAAAATATACTTTAATGTCATTTCTGTCGAAACTCACATGTCATGTATTTAAACATATTTGTAAGTACACGTGATGAAAATGCAATTTAATACATTTTAAATATATATAGCACACAGTGTACTGTAATTGAGTACTTTTAGGTGTTAGTCAACACATTATAATAAGTGTGCTGATTATTAAAACAATGATTTACAGTAAAACTTTTAATTTGACATTTTTACAAACTGCACTTTTTAAAAGTGTACTTAAGTGTGTTTCGAAACAGTCATGAAAGTCTTCTCCGTTTACTGTCCACTTAAGTGTTTCATTCATTTATTATCTTCAAGTACAGGTTTTTAATGATTTAATTTTAGGATTACAATTAGGCTTACTTCTTTTTCACAAGGATTTATGTTGTCAAAATAAAAGCATTGCTGTAATAACATCGGAATCACTTATTCTGGACTTCATTTTGATACTGCCTAAATTAAGACGGCAGTCATATCCATAGCCTGAAGAGTTTTGTTTCCACATAGAGCGACAGTTGGGAGAAGCTTTTGTCAACCAATCAAATGAGTTCTATGATGCCATGCCAGAGAAGCTGACCAATGACAGCAATCAAAACGTGATTCTCATCAATCAATGGGTGGCAAAGAAGACAAACAATAAAATCACCGAGTTAATTGATTATGTGGATCCCACCACCTCGTTTATTTTGTTAAATGCTGTCTACTTTAATGGTAAGTGACATTATATATCTGAATGCTGTACCTGTTTATTTTGTATGACACTTGTCATAAAGTTTGTTTGTATTTCTTTGTGCTTTACAGGTAAATGGAAGACCGTTTTTGAATCAACAAATAAACGGGAAAACTTCATGAAGTTTTCAGGTGAGGTCATTGAAGTGCAGACTCTCTACAGCTCCAAGTATAACCTTCAAATGGGCTACAACAAAAAATTACAGGCTGAGGTAAGTGTCGCAATTAATTCACAAAGGTCATTATTAGGAAATGGTGCCGTTTGTGTGCATTTGAGATCATTTGACTTGATACCGATATTATTAACTGAATACTTAACTTAGTTACATTATTTTATAGATTTACATTGTTTAGTGTATAAGGCCAATTATTATAAAACATTGTTTGTTTTTCTCTTCAAAATATCAGCCAATTTTGCCCCCTTTCACCATATTTAAAAAATAAATATATTTATTAAAAAAGTGCAACCATGTAATGTTTTTAGATAGTTCTGAGGCAAGTTTCTCTTAGTCTTTATTCGTGTCTCATCAAGCTCTATTATGGGAAAAATATCAGTGATTACATTTATTAGATTTTTTTCTATAAAATTTTGCTTTGGCAAGAAACTAGATACTATTATTTACTAGATACTAGTGTGGTGCATTTCAAAAAGTATACCTAAGAACTTGCACAATTGGTGGCTGACTAAATACTTTTTTGCCCCACTGTAAATACATAAATTTAAAACACATAAATAAAAATTACATTAAAAATGTTGAATTAAATAAAATGATGTTATCTAAATAGAAATAATTAAATAATAAAATATAACTAAAAGGGAAAAAATCCTTAATTTTACATTGCATAAATGACACCATTTCCTATGAATGAATTATAAGCACAAACACATACATTGCAGAACTATTTCTCCAGGTCGGAAAGTTCCCTCTTACGGGTAAAAACAGCCTGTACATACTGATCCCGCGCACAACGTCAGAAGAATCCTTTGTATTGATGGAGAATAATATAAACAAAGATTCTATTCTATCAATGGTATCTGAGATGAATAAAATCCCAGCCCAAACCGCTGAGGTCATACTGCCTAAAATTAAACTGACAGTGGACACACAACTGGAGGACTTGCTGAGGAATCTGGGTAAGAAAGTCACTTAATTTACTCCAAAATGCTGCATCATTTACTCCTCTTGTTCCAAACCTATAATCCATTTTCTCTCTCTCTCTCTTTTTTTTAACATATATACACAATCCTATTTTCCATACAACCTAAATATTATAAGAAAATCATGCACTACAATATATTCCAAGTCATATATTAACTTTGTGAGAAGAAAATCGCAAATGAGTCATTTTTCACTGAAAATATTTTGAAAATGTTTTGGCCTGTTTCTCACTCAAAGCTATGATATGGCTTCAGGTAACTTGGAATATAGTGCAAAAGTCATATGGACCACTTTTATTATATATTTGTGATCCTTCTTTTTTTGTGTGTGTGTGTGCTTTTTACTCCTTTTTGGCAACAATGAATGGAAAAAGGAAGCATGTACACTTTAAAAATTCTCATTTTGTATTCCATGGAAGAAAAAAAAAACCAGCATGCATATTTGCAACAAATGTGGATGAGTAAACCATGACCGAATTCTCCTCACCTCTCCTCAGGTTTGTCAGATCTCTTCCTAAATCCTAACTTGTGTGGAATATTTCCGGATGAATCTGAATCATTGCTCTCAGATGCCCGTCACAGCGCCTTTCTCTCGCTGACAGAGAAGGGAGTGGAGGCCGCCGCAGTCACAAGCATCTCTTTTTCTCGCTCTTTCTCTTCTTTTGCAGCTCTACAGCCCTTCGTTCTGATACTGTGGAGCGATGAGGCTGGCGCTCCTCTTTTCATGGGAAGAATAATTAATCCAATTAATCCATAAAAAGACAACACAACAGTGTCACGCCACAAAAAAATAATCAAACTTTCTTTTATCCCAAACAAATGCATTTATGTAACAATATCATGTTATGCATAGAGTTAGAATGCATGCAGAATCTCGGTCATTAAAGATGTACTTTACATCATGCATTCGTTATTTATTTTCCATGAGATGACAAAAAATCTGATGCATGAATGAAAGATCATAAGACTCGAACGCACAAAATTCGCTCTCATTTCCAACAGCCACTGTTGCACCAATTTATTTCGGAGACGCAGTTACAGAGACCGACACACGATGGCAGTCACATCACATGTTCCACACAGACAGTCAACTAGGACACGTGAGCGAGACTTGAATAATCCTCCTTCAGTTTGACCCCTTGTTCATTAACGCTCCCCCTGGAGTCCCATCTTGGCTGGCAGGTGGTGCCAGTCTATTATCTAAATGCCATGCTGTTTCATCAAAGGTAGCCTGGATTGTCCCAGTTCACTGCGCAAAAACAAATACCCTTAGATGGGCCCATTGATGGATATTAGGACAAACATAAGCACTGCAGATCGGTGGTCCATCAACGCATATGTGACATTCACTTGGCATGCAGCAGCTTAGAATAACATTTGGTCATTATACACCGCTTAGGCCATTCATTTGATAACTCAAATGTAAAAAACAATAATAATAAAAAAAACACAGAAGAACTCCAAGTCAGGAACGGCGACGGGGGCCAATGAAAGCACAGGGTTAACAATACGTTTTTTTTGTGCAATTAAATGCATAAAATGTCTTCAACCAAGACCAGATGAAAAGTAGATTCAGGTAGCTGATTTACGGAATCTAATAAACAGCTAATAAATGCAATCACACAGATACAATTACAGCCGAAATTCCCACGCATGGCAAGAAATGTGCATCGTTTCACAGATCTTATGTCAACACATTGTCAGGACGACAAAGCAAGTGTGACAAAGCGAACCGACCCAGATTTTGTGTTCTGACCCAAAGACGTACTTGACAGGTAGTTTGTCCTTCGAAGGGTTCGTTTGATTGCTAATTTAACCCCTAATGGGGTGTGCAGTTGTGCATGAGGCCTGCCAGAGGCGATTCACCCTCCATACTGGCACTGTCCTGGCGGTTAGGCCTCTAAACCAGTAGAGGGCACCGTAGAGAGAGAGCGAAAAAAGTCTGTCAACGTGCATCAGCGCTTGTTTTTTGTTTGTAGGAGACTGTACAAACATTCAACAGAGACACGTACAAAGACAAAACACAGACAGGGACATTCACACACATTCGTGTTGAGGTGACTGTCGTTTGGTTCTTCTCGAAGTGACAGGCAGCAGTTCTTGAGTGAACGTTTAAATCCATAGACAGCTCCTTTCATTGCTTTAGAGTTCCTTCATGCGCTGTCCCTTGTGCTTTTCCTGTGCATCATGTTTTTGTCGGGCTGGAAGAGACTGTAAACTTTCATACGTAACAAATCACAAAAGAGAAATACATAGGTACACATAGACATTTACAGTCAGCTGGATGTGTTGTGCTTTGACAGTGTGCAAAATTACGGCACCACCAACTGTAACAAACACCAGGATGCTATTACACGTTTAACATGTAATAAACAATAACACTATAATATGGCATGAGCTCCTGTGGCATAGTCACAACACAGTACGATTTCACATAAGTGACGTGTAGACCAGAAAAAGGGGTCGATTGTTTGTGCGTCACAATCTGGGCTTGTGATCACACTTGCTTCTTTCTCATCACAAAAGAATGTGACACTTAGCTGTACAATAGATTATGATGCTTTTTCTCACGCATTAATATTGAATGTCATCTTCATCATCATTCTCAGACTGAGCATTATTGCATTTCTTTATCATTATTACTCCATTTTTCTTGTATTACTTTTCAGAGGATGAGCTTGTGTGTGCTTGTCTGCGTGTTAGTCACTGCTAGGGGCTCCTTGCTGTGTCAGTGTGTGCCAGTACTCCACTTTCTTTCCTTTGTATTTTAGACACTCAAACCAGTGTTTCAGTCGCTCTCCTTTTGCGTTAATCCCCAATTCAACGCCACCTGAGAAAGAGAGAAAAAGAGAGAACAATAGCAATGAAAAATAGCAGGGCTGGATGATTATGACCAAAAAAAAATCATAATGAATAATTACACTACTGTTTAAAAGTTTGGGGTTAGTGAGATTTTTTAAAATGTTTTTGAAAGAAATCTCTTATGCTCACCAAGGCTGGATTTATTTGATAAAAAACAGAAAAAAGCATAAAATTATTAAATATCATAATGTATTTATTCCAATATGCTGAGTTGGTGATAAAGAAACATTTCTTATTATTATCAATGTTGAAATCAGCTTTTTTAAAATCAATTTTTGTGAAAAAATTGAAAATTTCTTTCCAGGATTCTTTGATGAATAGAAAGTTCAAAAGAACAGAATTTATTTATAATTATTTTAAATTATTAGAATAAATATGATGCATCCTTGCTGAATAAAAATTTTAATTTCTTTCCAAAAAAAAAAGAAAAAGAAAAAAAAAAGGAAAATTCTTACTGACCCCAAACTTTTAAACGGTAGTGTATTTTCCTTGATATTTTAATTGCATTTTTTTTTGTGTTAGGCAACTACATGCTATATTTGTCTAATATATTCTGTTTTATACTATTTTACCCTGGGTAGTAATTAGATGCTTATTTACATATTTATGAGGTTAATAACACCAAGCGGAGAGTGATGATAAGCATGCAACCTCGATCAATACCTGCTTGTCTATATTCGCACATAAATCTGTTTTAAATCTTGTGTTTACAATGACAGTTTTAAATTTCCCAATGGACAATGTAACTAAAACAGCACATTAATATTTAATTGATGAGGTAAGCATTATGGTTGGATGGATGTTTGCCCACTATAACATTCTAGCACATGCTATTTACTTTTTAAAATTACAAGAGTATATTATATTACATACATACGTATTGTTTATATATGTATACATAATGCGTATATTTGACTGTGGCTTCTGAAGCCAAGTTGTTCTAGACACTTCAGCATGTCTCTCCTTAGTCTAACACCTGAGCTTGCTCTGAATAATGAAAGTGCGTGTGAGTATGTTGGTGGACACAAGCTGCGTTTAATTTCATCAGGCCCCTCATGTACTGAGATTCTGTCCCGCTTCGATCACTCCTACACAAACACACACACATCTCACATCAATACCACATGCTCATGGCCACGAGCAAGCCATGACAAATGAACCCTATGCATGACATCCCTGCCATAGGGAATGAAAGAAAAAGAAAGGAAATAGACATGGAGCGAGTGAAAGAAAGTGAGTTGGAAAGATCCAAGAAAATGTTAAATAAATACTAAGCTTCATTGCACATGTCAATCCGAGAACTGCGTCCTCGGTGTGCCTTCATGCCTGGATGTCTCTCACAAGCCTCCATTCATTCACATCCCTTCATGTCTTTACACTTCTGTTGATCCCCCCCATCCATTCCTCAGCCATCCCCTCTAAATCAGTAACACTGACATCAATTACTCTCACTGTCCCAATCGTTACAGAGCGCTCGTGTCATTCAACCATAAATAAACATGTCACAGCACAAAGCTCAAGAGCTTTTCTGTTCTAGACCCTTCCTCTGTTTCGTTTCATTAAGGGACAGTTCAGCCAAAAATGAAACTTCTGTCATCATTTACTCATCCACATGTCTTTCGAAACCTGTATGATCTTTTTCTTCTGTGGAGCACAAAAGCAGTTATTTATAGCAGGCTGCTCTTTCATTAAAAGTGAACAGTGACCATAGCTGTCGAGCGACACTTTCAGTGATTAACGACTTAAATTTCAGTCTGTTCCTCACACAAAGTTATCGTATGATTCACATTGGATTACTTTTATGGTCCTTTGTGATGCTTTTCTGTTTTTCTTTTTTTTTTTTTGGACCCTTCCACTTTGCTAAACTACTCCTTTGGTACTCCAAGGAAGGAAAAAGGTTTGGAATGACATGAGAATAAGCAAATCATGAGATTTTTGGGTGAACTTGTATATAAAACTCTTTTCTTATTCTGCACAGGAAATGAGACATGCAAGTTGTAACATTCACAAACAGCACCATCTAAAAGGAAAGATCCATGTCAAAATAAGTTCAGCTCTATCTGCAGCATCTGTGGCATGCTGACAATACCAGAGACAATCATTTGAGTTGTCGCTCGGTTTGCATTTACATGGGAAGTCTATGCAGCAAAGCTTTCTGCAGAAATGTTCAAATCAAGTCACTAGCTTACATACAATGTATATAACAGACATATTCTATAACTCTATTTTTTGCACTTGTATTTAATTTTTCTGCAAAGTTGTGTATACAGTGTAAATACAGAATGCATATGTAAGTATAGGAAAGACACTAAACTAACTAAACAACTGTTTCTGGTATAAGTCAAGGTTTTAACAGTTGTCATCAAACGTCTTTAATTTTGAAACTGTGTGCACTTCATGTTTGGTGAAATGCTTCGCACCAAAGACTTCAAAGGAAATGAATATTTTTGCTTGTAAAACTCACCTATGAAGTCATTGCTCATGCCCAGGTCGTAGTCCCAAACTGAGATCTCCAGGGTTTTCTTGGGCAGCTGATCATGTGGGACTTCATAGGTAAACTCCTGGGTTGAAGAGGACAAACATGAGTTTTGGTAGAGGGACAAAACAACATTTATATTTACAATGAGTGGTCACAAGATATGGTCACACTCGACTTTGAGCATGCAAAATTACGAACAACAGGATAGGCTATCACATTCTAGGGCTTCTGCTTTAAATAAATCATGACTTTTAAGTAACAAAAATAATACAATAAAATCTGTCATATATAGCACCTACAACACTTTCCCATAAATTGCAAAGTAAAGTTTTTATTCTTCATTTTGAGTCGAGATCAATCTGTGACTATAGAAATTCACAGGTCAAAGTTTATTAAACTTGAATTTGGTATGCAGCCAAGAATGAAACTTCTTCACTTGTGCCTGCGTTTCCGCTCGCCCACATTCACATGAATATGAATGAATTTGAACAGAGCTGCATGCAGTCTAAAGGGCTGCATGACTGTGACAATATCCTAATTGTTACGCATTTCTCCCCGATA